CCCTGGGCCTTGACAAGCCTGAGATGCCTGGCTATGACAGGCTCGTGGTGCCCCTGATAGACCAGTGGTGCCCTTGATAGGCCTGTAGTGCCCCTGGCAGGCCTCTGGTGCCCCTGCTACCCCTGCGCCCGGAGAGGACTATGGTGCCCCTGAAAAGCCTGAAGCCTCTCGACAGGCCCGTGGTGCCCCTGGGCCCTGACAGGCCCAAGTTACCCCTGCGAGGTCGGTGGTGCTCCTGGCAGGCCTCTGGTGCCCCTGGCAGGTCTGTGGTGCCCCTGGCAGGCCTGTGTTGACTGGTGCCCCTGCTAGGCCGCTGGTGTCCCTCACAGGCCTGCGGTGCCCCTGGAAGGACTGTGGTGCCCCTGCCCCTAGGGGTGCTCATGGGCCCAACAGGCCCGTTGTGCCCCTGACAGGCCTGTCGTGTATACTTGCTAGACTTGTGGTGCCCGTGGTGCCCCTGGCGGGCCTGTGGCGCCCCTACAAGGCCGTAGGTGCCCCTGACAGGACAGGTTTGTGGTGTCCCTGGAAGGACTTTGGTGCACCTGACAAGCCTGAAGTGTCAAGGACAGACCCTTTAGACGCCAGGGTCAAGTTCGTCGGACTGACAACGATTTGCTTACCTGATAACGTTCCTGGTAAGTACTCACTACTCAGCGTCCACAACATATATACACATAGCACATTCATATATACCTACTTGCTTACAATTGGTAAATGTGGTTCTGGCTAAGAGTTAAGATACTGACTAAAAATAAAAAATAAAAGAAAAAAACTGAAAATGGGGGCACCACCAATTTGAAGTGGACGAACTCCGTTGAGTTTTTAATTTTGGGTATAGGTAGGGGCACCACTTCGATTCATGACCCTCCCCTTGGAGTTTTCCTGGATCCGCCCCTGGCGACCATGTCAGGCGCAAATAGGAAATACAAATAGAATAGTTATATGAGTTGCGACACATTTTTAACCGCCATGCTGTGCACAGTTGAGCGATTCACTATGGGAAAACGGCAATCAATTGAAAAAGGAATGTCGATTCAGAATAAAAAAGGTGCATCATCCTAATGTGCATCGCTTTTCATCAGAGAGGGCCCAAACACACACGTTTTGGATAAGAAACTCGTCATTTTTATTTAAACTCACCTGAAACATCCCACCAGAAACATCGCCGACCGGAAAATAATTTAATTTGATAACCAAAGTATGGCTGACCTTTTGACGATGTTTTTACCCCGTTTTCTCCTGCCAGTTTTTCTGTAGGGAGATAGGTCGCAAATAGGAAAGGGTCGCTAATTAGGCACCTTACCCTACACTACAGTCATTAGCGGACAACTCAATATACCCTGAGCGGACAGTAGCGGCGGAGGGGGTACTGCCGACTTTTGGTCCCATTCTTTCCATGCAACGCCCATAGGGCTAGGTAATGTTGAAATGCAAAAATCAAAGGGGGCATGGTGCCCCGGTGCGCCATCGCCGTTCCGCCGCCTATGTTAGCGGAGCCACGGGGGGGGGGGGGGGCAGGCGGGGCAGCTTGCCCCCAACCTTCGAACGGGCGCCCCTGAGATCGATGCAGATCCGATGAGATTTTAGGGTCAGACATGGTCTCGAAAAGTAGGTCATAGGTCAAAGGTCATTCGTCAGGGTCATGCAATTTTCATGGTAGATGTAAAATTGAATAAAACGAGGTAACTTAAAGGTTTGTCGCAATCAGCCGCTTTTTACGAGAGTTATTCGCGAAATACCGAGGGGGTCCGTTCAGGGGCGTAGGCAGGGGGGGGGCCACTGGGCCATGGCCCCCCCCCCCCCTTGGGCGCCGAAGGCGCCCTTTGCGATTGGAGGGCGCCGAAGGCGCCCTCCAATCGCAAATGCAATTGTGATATAATCGAATCGAAAAACAATCGCGACTGAAGGGCGCCCTCCAATCGCGAATGTGTTTACAGGGAAAATACGGATGGAGGGCGCCCTCGGAGGACGCCCATTCCAAATACGCCCTCCAAATACGGTTGGAGGGCTCCCTCGGGCGCCCTCCAACCACATTTGTAGGCTGTAGCTCTCTAAGCGTAACGGTGGTCGCCTATGTAAGCCGCTGTCCTGTAAATAAGCGCCCTCTCACCCGAAGGCGCCCTCCTGTAGGTCGCCACCCTGCTACACATTGCCGCCCTTCTGCTGATCGGCTCCTCATAATTATTGGCGCTCTCCTACCTATTGAGCCCTCATGTGAAATTTTGAAGGCCGCCTTTCTCCCTTTTGGCACCCTCTTGTTCAGTGCCGCCCTCCTACCTATTGGTTCCCTAGTCCTTCCTGTTGAATGTTAATCGGGGCCCTTCTCCTATTGGCGCCCTCGTGTAGATCGCCGCCCTCCTAACCACTGGCACCCTCCTGTTGATCACCGCCCTCCTATCCACTGGCACCTTCCTGTTGACCAGCGCCCTCCACACAGACGCCCTCCTGTTCGTGTCATCCTCTTGAGCAAAGGCGCCCTCCTCACCATTGGCATTGCCACCCCCATTTTAATCGTCACCCTTCCGCTCATTGGCGACTTCCAGTTGATGACCGCCCTCCCACCTATTGGCGACCTCTTGTTGATCGCCACCCTCCTATTGGTGCTCTCCTGTTCCTCGCCACCCTCTTACCTGGTGGCGCCCTCCTGTTGATTGTTGATCGGCGCCCTCCTACCTATTGGTGCCCTCCTGTTGATCGCTGCCCTTCTATCCATTGGCGCCCTCCTGCTGCTCGCCAACTTCCTACCTATCGGTGCCCTACTGTCGAAACTCGGGATGTTGATCGGGGCTCTTCTACCTATTAGTGCCCTCCTGTGGATCGCAGCCCTTCTACCTATTGGCAACATCCGTTGATCGCTGCCCTCCTATCATTTATTTACTCCTTTGGCATGTTTTTCAACTTAGTCGTTCTATTGCACATAGTTGATGTCTTGCCTGTGAAAACTGTCACAAATGAACGTGCATTCAGCACAATGAAAGAAGTATCTATACCTACCAAAACTATCTACGCTCTACGATGCATAAAACACGTCTTTGGTCTTAACGGATTGATCCTACTTTACGTGCATCATGGCATCTATATGGATTACGATTAAGTATTGTCAACAGGTTCGGGCGCAACAGCAGGCATCTGAAGTTTCGGTGATTGAAACTGGTTATGTGGGTACACTGTATGCATGCATCTGTGAGAAGGCTATATGAAGGCTGGTCTGAGGTAATTTGGATGATGTTTACGCATCTCGCGCTCCGGTATCAATCCGATACGGTGATCTGGTGCGTAGATATGCCACCGCCAATAAACTTTTATACATCGACACCCATGAGCCAAGCTTTCTGTACAGTTTGTGTGGCAGCAGCCCGACCAAACCTTAGGTATTTTTTACACCTTCAAATTTGGTAAAAGAGCGAGAGGAGCTTTGAACAGTGATCGTATAAAAGGCGTGCCTAAAAAGCGGAGGAAAAGGTTGTTTTCACAAATTTCGCGCGCCTTCGGCGCAGCATTTCAAGAACACTTGACCTTTTGTGACCTGGAGTATAAAGAATACACACGATGCAAAATCAATGCAGCACGACCTATACGAGGTTACGCAAAAAAAACTGGTGGCATGGTAAAAAACGCCTCCCAACCCCCCCACCCCCACTGAGCGATTTTTTATCTCGCGACCGTATGGCGCCCTCCTTGGGTGAGGTGGCGCCCTCCAAACCCTTGGCCCCCCCCTTCGCGATTTTCTAAATACGCCGCTGGGTCCGTTCGACCCCCCCCCCCCCTGCGGGCGAGGATTAAAGCGCTACAGGGCTGTTGAGGGCCGCGCGAAGGCTCCTAAAAAGTCCCACTGATATCTAAGAAGCTTCCGACGCTATAGCTTCCAACTTCCGAGAGATCCAAGCCGACCTCTGAGTGCCATCAGGCCGGCATCAGTGAAACTCCAGTCTCCCACTGCTAATCCAAGCGATCCTAAAGGCTCAGGAGTCAGGCGCAGGTCTTTGGGGGCCACTTTGGTTGGGCAATCTTTCCGAGGGCCTCCGCCGGCCTTAACGGCCCCATACTGGCCTCTGAGGGTTCCGTTGGTGTCTACTGTCTACGGGCCCATGGCAGTCTCTGAGGGCCCAATTCGACTTTGAGGACTATACATACCTACGGCAGGTCTTTGAAGGCCTACACGGATTTTCTGACACGATTCTTCGGAGATGTCTGAAAACCTTTGCTAACCTCTACATAATAGCGTAGCCGAGCTCTTGAGCCAACACCAGATTCTTGCAGACCCAAACCGGCATCTGAACTCTGAAGTGTCACATTTGTCTCTGAGCAGGGCTGCATGATCAGGGTTTGACTTTGAGTCAGTCAGAGTCGATAGCTCTGACCAGAGCCGGAGTTGATTTTCCGCCCTGAGGTTAAATCTGAGGGAGCACACTAGAAAGAAGGTTTGAAGGGCTATCGAATGCGCTTTGTCGCGGCTGGCTCTATTGGTTCCTGAGTTATGCACCGGTGTTTCGAAAAATGTTGAAATATAGGCAGCATTTTACCTTTGATGGCCTCTGGTGACCTGACATTTCATCTGACCAAAAAATGACAAAAAGTGTTTTAGTCCTTATTTTGGACGTTCTTTCGAATGCCGCTTACCGCGTGTCGCTAGGTGGCCCAGGAGCCGTGTTAGAGGGGGGGGGGGGGTTCAAAACCTTCCCCCAGCAGGGCGTGGAAATCCAGGACCCCCAGGGGGAGGGGGGGGCGGGGGTAAAACGAACCAAAGCCAACAACAAAATGCCGATTTTCTGGTAGGTCGAGCATGACGGTCGGCCCAGCCGTATGCAAAGCGTCGCTACTGGCAGCGGCGCCGGCTCGGCCGGGAATTACGCGATGGCGTGCCAGCTCGGCGTCGCGTTCGGTCCGCGCGCGGAGAGGTCCGTTGGCGGCGCCAGGTCACCCGGGCGACGGGTCAACAGGGTGACTGTAAGCGGCGGTCAGCGGAGCGGCAGTCAGTCGTCCCTCCACACCGGGTCACCATGGCGGGACCGTGGCTGGCGCTCATCACCCTAGGTAAGTTACATATAGCTACCCACTGGCCGCTTCGGTTCGTTTTCGGTACCGCATGACATGAATATCAAACAGCACAAGGAACTTGAAGACCGATAATAAATTATTATTTATTATTTACCTATTATTTGTTCGGATCTCTCTCCAACGGGCATATATTTTCATTACGTTTCTCGAAGAAGAAAATGAAAAAGCAAAATTGAAATAACTTTTATAACCTGTGCAGTGTGCTACCTATTTTGCAAGTCCCACGAAGCTCCATCGAAAGCGCTTCGGCCATTTTCGAGCGTAGGGTAGACCGGGGCAAGTCGCCCCGCCGAGGTAAAACGCCTCACCGATGTTTCTCGGAACTGGCAGAGTTCTGGGGAAACATCCTCTCTTCTATAAAAGGTGCACTATATGATCATTATATGAGCAGACTGGAAAGAAATTGTGATGACTCTTTCGGGAGATATAGCCAAAAATGTGTTTTTTGAGTGATTTTTATGTTTTGTTGTCAGATTATGCATCATGGCGTTCTTTTATGGTCCACATCAGGTTAACGACTTTTATGTATTTTGAACAACTATTGTCTAACGCTTATCATGCCGGGTTGGTTCGTGTTAAATTATGTCTTGCTGGAGTGCAAAGCGTTGTTCTCTGACCGAACTACGTGATGGGGTAAAACGCCCCAGTAGGTCGCGGGGCAAAAAGCCCCATGGGGCGTTTTACCTCATGTGTTGTTCGGGCTACCCACTTTCTAATGTTCGGTAGCTGGCGAACAGTAAGTTTCTATGCCTTTATGTGTATTTTTCTCAGCAACTGGATGGCGAAGGAAGTATTCTGTAAACATTTGCATTGCAATAATTTATTATTTGGTCTTATGAGGCAGGCGAAAAACCTGCTCATACAATAGTGTCATAGCTGAACACCTGACAGGATGGAATGTGCTAACTTCAGAGCCGTGCCTCCAGAGGTCTAACGGACCTCTCACATAAGATTAAGCCAACTACCATATTAAATCTGTAATCCAAAGTATGGGGCTACTTGCCCCAGGCCGTGGGGCGTTTTGCCCTGGGGTTGGGGCAAAATGCCCCATTTGCAGTTGCTTCACAAATCACTTCCTAGCTTGGAGTCCGATCATAAGTGAATGAATTTGAGGGGTGCAATTTAAAGTAAAATGTCCAAAGAACGCATTGAGCACAAATTTGGCCTTCCAGGTGATGTGGGACAAAATTTATGCAGCAAAATAAATTATCTGGGGCGTCTTGCCCCAGGCTACCCTACCGATTAAACCGTTTCCAGTTTTACATGTGTGAGACCATTGACTGGTTGACTGATGTGATGGTGTGCTGTGCGCAATGACTCATGACTAATCGAACGATGAACAGTGGTCTCATGCCACCTATCGTTGATGCGCTAGGGGAAAAATACAAAAAGCGCGTACCTATTTCGTCGCCATTCCATTTGTGTACGACATATTTATACTTGATATCCATATTCCTTACCTTCACGTGACTGCAGTGCTACAAAGTGTTCAGCGTAGTGCACTTCTCGCGATGACGTCGCCTGGGATTCCGACGACATGACGCCTTTCGGTCGAGTCCGTCCTTATGTCTTTCTGTCGCACCGTGATCCGTTACCCGTTACGACGTCGGAGCAGTCCTCTAGAATCCGCTGTGCTGTCCTTTAGGTAGGGGAGAGTGGGGTAAGATGCCCAGGGTGGGAAAGACGCCCCACCCCCCTCTAGCGGCGAAACAAAGAATCGAACCTGGAAATTAATGTTCGTAGCATAAAGCGGAAGCCTGCCTTGTTAACTGCACAAAAATTTGCGAAGCTCAGTTGGGCAACGGCTGGCTGGTGATTGCATGTTTTTTATTTGCTGCTTTCAAAAAATATTTTGGTGTCAAAACGTTGTAAATATCAAAGAAGGTGGATAATTTTTGCGTCCCTTGCTATAGTCGTGATACATTAGCATGTGTGTACTGTGTCCCAAACAGTTTGTTTCAGGGTGTAGTTGTATGGCTAACAAAGTGTACTGATTTAATGTTACTTCGGTACCTTGGGGTAAGATGCCCCCTGTCCTGATGGGGAAAGACGCCCCCCTAAATCCGTAGGCTGTCCTTCAAGCAGCCCGTCAAATAATTTATTACATACTTGTGATGAGAGACAAAAGCCGATCTGGGACTACTGAGAGTCCAGTACGGTCGGGTGCTCCCCATGCCGGTCTCTCGGCCCACACAGCGACTTTTTGGGCGGTATCTGACTCTGAGAGCCCTCATCCTCATGACGGCCTCTGTGGGCCCCATTATTGGCTCCAGGGCCCCTCACGACATCCTTTGAGGGCTCTCACGTTGGCTCCACGGGCCGCGCTGGCATCTGAGGTCCCCACGATGGGCTCGAGGGCCCTCAAGCATCATGAAGACCTATAAGGGCCCCGCAGTGGTCTCCGAACGCCACCACGGAGGCTTGTTTGGCCGCGCTGGACTATGATGGCCCTAACGATGACCTCTGAAGCCCCTTACGACTACTTTTGAGGGCCCTTACGATGACGTTTGGTGTCTACTGCAGGTTCGAAGGGACTACTGATTCGTTCAGGCGATTCACGTGCCCATTTATGTCACTTATAGTGCAGGGGGGCATCTTCCCCAACGCCAGGGGGCGTCTTTCCCACCCTGTGGGGTAAGATGCCCCCTTTCACTTCTTCAGGAAAATGCTTAATAGCAAAAAAAGTTATCATATTTCAAGCACGAAAGTGTGATATTTTTCGAGAAAAATGATGTCGGCTTCCGTTGAAACTCCAAGTTTTTGCTTTCCGATCGTCATTTTCGAACAATATATGATATAGTAAAACCCTGGGCATCTTTCCCCACTCTCCCCTACTCTTTTCACCGTTCAACACAGCACCTCCCGATTATCCCGGCACCTCCACCTCTCGCACGCCCGCCCGGTCATGTAACGCAGACACCGTATAGAGATCCCTCACCGTCACATCCCCACTCGTCCGACTGCGGCCGACTGAGGCGCTGGGAGCGGACCACGCACGGTGCGGTGTCGTATCGCGCGGTAACCTGATCCGCGAACGAGCCGGAGCCAGCGAGGCGGCCGCCGTCGGTCGTCTCACACCCTCCGTCCGTCTCTCTCGACTTCTCGATCCCATAGGGAGGGGGTGCAGTGCCACTCGTGCATAAAGTCGTGATACGACCGGCAGGGGATGATTACGTACCTAATCGTTATCCTCTGGGCTTGGGTAGCTCCAGCTGGTCGTACCTACTTCCAGTTTATTGAATGACTGGCCATTTCCATTTCAAACGTAGGTGATAGAAGTTATCAAGCAATTTCATTTCCTCCCCTCTCCTCTCCCTCTCTCTCCTCTCCCTCCCTCCATCCCTCTCTCTCTCTCTCTCTCTCTCTCTCTCTCTCTCCCTCCCCCTCTCCCTCCCTCTCTCTCTCTCTCTCTCTCTCTCTCTCTTCCTCTCTCTCTCTCTCTCTCTCTCTCTCTCTCTCTCTCTCTCTCTCTCTCTCTCTCTCTCTCTCTCTCTCTCTCTCTCTCTCCCTCTCCCCCTCCCCCTCCCCCTCCCCCCTGGCCGCTGAACTGAGAGGCGGATGTTCCCTCAGCTGACCGGTGGGCCGGTCCGGCCGCCCCTCTGTGCCGCAGGGTGGTGGGTGAGCGCGGCGGCGGCCGTGGCGCCCGACGTGTTCCCTTTGGACGCGTGTCCGGCCGGAGACATAGCCACCGGACCGGACGGCTTTCACTGCAGCAGTCTGCCGGTCGAGTTCACCACCGACGGCATTTATCACATGAGACAGAGCTCCGGAGAGGTGATCCAGGTGAGAGACAGAGCTCTGGAGAGGTGATCCAGGTGAGAGACAGAGCTTCGGAGAGGTGATCCAGGTGAGAGACAGAGCTCCGGAGAGGTGATCCAGGTGAGAGACAGAGCTCCGGAGAGGTGATCCTGGTGAGAGACAGAGCTCCGGAGAGGTGATCCAGGTGAGAGACAGAGTTCCGGAGAGGTGATCCAGGTGAGAGACAGCGCTCCGGAGAGGTGATCCAGGTGAGAGACAGAGTTCCGGAGAGGTGATCCAGGTGAGAGACAGAGCTCTGGAGAGGTGATCCAGGTGAGACCCAGAGCTCCGGAGAGGTGATCCAGGTGAGAGACATAGCTCCGGAGAGGTGATCCAGGTGAGAAAGATAAACAAAGCTGCGTAGAGGCGCTCTGTCGCTCGATACCAGTAACATCCAGTCAGTCGCGGCGACACTAGTGAGTTAGTGACCACCGACCGCTGACCGCTGACCGCTGGCCGCTGGCCGCTGACCGCTGGCCGCTGACCGCTGACCACTCGCTATGATGCAGGTCTACTGTGACATGAGCGGGGGTCGGTGGAACGAGATCATGCGCCGCGGCGTCGACTCTGAGCTGACCCCGGTCGCCCCGGCCGATCAGCTGTCGTTTGCCGGCTCTCCAGGCTCGACTGACTTCGATCAACTGTACGGAGACCTGCACTCGGAGTTCTTTGTCGGTGAGTGTCACATTTGTCAAACGGCTATCTCCCATTTACTCGCCCTGATCATTATAGTTTCATAATTAGGTATCTGCATGTGGGGACTGACAAACTTAGTTATCATGAAATTAATGTATTGTGCTGATCGCGACCATGTTTGAAAGGAGTGCTAACAATTTATGTCTTCCAACAGGTAAAACAGACTTGGGACGATTTGCAACCGATTCCTCCCTTCGCACGGAGCTGATGGTGGAGGTAGAGACCACGGATGACGAGTACTATTTTGCCATTTTCAAAGTGGCCTCGCTCCAGCCGATCGAAGTTAAAGGATACTTTCTCGGCAATGCCGGTGAGCTCATAGTAATCATAGTCATCATTACCTACATCACAGGGCAATGATTTCCACTCGGCGGAAGAAAACCTGTTGAAAAATGCGTGGATTGCAAAGTGAAATGCCTGGGTTTCCAAACCCAGGCGTGATTTTTAGACGTGATTGATTGTAAAATATAAATAAAATAACGGAAGAATTTAACTTAAAATTTCATAATCCTGCTTGCCTGGTACTGGATGCTAAGTGGGATTTATTAACCTTCGCCCGTATAGGGGGGGGGGGGGTAGTCGAACGGACCCCCCCCCCCCCTCCCTACCTCTCGTTTTTTTTCGCGAATAACTTACGTAAAAAGCGGCCGATCACGAGGAAACTTTCAGTACCCTTGAGTTAATCAATTTTACACCTACCCTGAAAATTCCATGACCCTGACCCAAAGGACCTTTGACCTGTGGGCTGTGACCTATTCCTTTAATGGCTTTTAATGATACTGGCTTTGCAGACCTGCACGCTAAGTTTTAATAAAATTTATAGATTAACCCACACCGTGCTGAGGGGGGGGGGTTATGCCCCCTCAGGTTTTTCGCGAATATCTTGCACAAGTCGTGAAAATTTCAGACCCGGGTCGTTAAAGGTCAGGTCATCAGGTCACGTCAAGTGACCTTACCTCATAAAAAGTTCAAAGGCTCGCTGTAGCTACACCGACTGAACGATCTCTTTGCAACTTTCAGCGATTGACAAGAGTAACAGTATATATAAAATGTATCTCGGATTTTTTATATCTGTGACCAAAGGTATGATCAATTTTGCGACTTCTCCATTATAAGTCAGTAGAAGAAAATTGAAATCCGCCTCTTTTGGACGAATGTCGTTCTGAACCTTCTCAAACATCGCTTCATAGGTAAACTGTAAACATGACCCACTTAATCGGAAAATTGCACTTGTGACCCTTCTGTGTGCTCCTGTGGCTATCTCAGGTCATGAAAGGTCACCAGCAGTTTTTTTTTACTGTAACTTTTGATAGACACGCGCTAGAGCGGTGAAAACACATGTCAGCTATGTTCAGCTCGACGGAACAGATCGACTGATATGCAACACGACCCTTTCCGGTCAGTTCATGAGTTTGGCCTGAGGTCAAATTTCCAAAATAACCTTTAAAGGTCAACTAAAAGTTCCTTTGACGCGTCTCGACGAGAGGAACACAATGCTGGCAAAAATAATGTCGTGTCTCTCTTGAGTCAAAAGTTATTACCGAAAAAAAAACATTTTTCGTGAAACTGCTATTTTTAGAGTTTTTGCCCTCTGGAGGCTAAACCGTTGACCTGAGTTCAAATCTCAGAACAACACTCAGAAAGGTCGGTAAAAGGCCTATCGAATGCGTTTTTCTGCGGCGCTGTAGCTCTATTGGTTCCCGAGTTAGCCGTCGGGTGTTTTGAAACTGTTGAAATGGACAAAATTTGACCTTTGATGACCTCTGGTGACCTGACCTTTGACCTGACCTTAAAAATGACCAAGTATTTCTGCCATTATTTTTGACGTTCTTTCGATTGCCACTTACCGTGTGTCGCTGCGTGGCCCAGTAGCCGAGTTAGACGGGGGGAGCGCGAAAACGCTCCTCCACACGAGACGGAAAACTCAGGTCACCAGCACAGCGTGGGTTAAATGGAATGGCCCAGGCCTCAATTATACATAGGTACCTACCTAGGTACGGTAGAAGGCGATGCCTGCGCAACGCGTGGGCTTCGCGCCTCTGTCAATTGGCTAACTAAAAAAGATCACGTGACCAAGCCGCGTGAAACTGAAGAAAATGTAGATGTTTATTGTTTATGCTATCTTCAATGAGTTATGATAAACGACTAAACGATTTGTTTGAACTTTGAAACATCCAATGACTGGAGAGTGTGGCAGGATGTATGAAACCATGAACTACAATAAATAGGATGGAAGACCGGAAGTTCGTGTTACCTATCGATAATAGGAAGTTGATGTTGTATATAAATGGTTCAATGACATTACAGGCCACATAGGGACTTGACATTTTCGCGACCTCTATCTACAATGCACACGAATGATAATAAATGAAATTGTGCATTTCTAGGAGCGGGGCTGTTCGACACCTTGAACACCCACAGTTTCAACGGGGAGTGCTCGGAGGCCTGGTACGCCGACGACTGCACCCTCCTGAGCACGGTCAGTATGGCTAGGCAGGTCGGATCCAACTTGGAATCCCACCCCGGTGGATATGTGCAGGGATCCTTAGCTTGGCTAAGTTGGTCGGGCAAAGCATTTTCACATGTGTCATGGATCGGGCGGTAGTGCACAGGTCGCATCTACATACACCGCGAGAACGGCTGAGTTGATGAGCTCAAATTTGGAGCACCGATAGGGACCGGTTTATAGGGTGCCCGCAAAAGTCAGTTGGAGGCTTCGCCTCACACTTACGCACGTGCAGGGCTCACTCTCGCCGCCCGCGCTCACTCAATTGTGCTCCCCTCCCCCAGGCGTTCTATACTGGTACGTACCCATCTTTCTTTTAGAGCTATTAACACAGGGTATTTGTTGAGTAATTTGTGGCTGCCGAATCCTGTTGGGAAATCTGTTGGCGGTCCCATGGTGTCACTGTTGTTGTCACAGGTCGATCGTCCGCACCTGACCCGTCCCCTGGACGGGGCGCCTCGAGCTGACGGCTCCTGGGACTGGCCCACCGTGCAAAAACCACTCAAGAGGATCAGCATGAAGGTGCGAGTCAACAAAGGTGAGAACCAAACTCATAAAAGACACGCACTTCACGCATATATTTCACGAAGTTTACGCCGACTGAAGCCCAAACGGGGCATCACTTTGAGAAGGAAACAGCCCGAACGGTCGCCCTCTACATACCTATAGTATCAATCAGTCAAGCGCTTACGGCTCAACACGGAGAAGTATTATGTTTTTTCGGGAGACGGGTTTATTCTTGAAGAGGAAATTTTTCTACGGTCAAATAAGAGTGCGGCTGAGCTTTATAGCACGATATAAAAAAATCAGTGTTTGGGACTAGCAGCGATAAGCCTTCTCACTTATTGAGGGATATAATAGACCCCACCGCTAGTTTTTTTTTGCGAATAACGCATAAAAAGTGGCCCATCGTGGCAAAAGTTTTAGTAGGTAATCTCGTGATTATTTCAATTCTACACATTTCCTGAAAATGTAATTACCTTGTTCCCTGACCCTCACTCATTGACCTGTGGCCTGTTTCTTGAGTCATTTTCAGGCAAGTAGCTTTTTAGGATGGTGAAATGTTTTCAGGCAGGTAGCTGTTGGTTTCCAGCGTTTGGGAAATCGATACCCAAGCCCTAACACTTTCTGCGGTCGGTTAGATTTCTTACGCACTGCTGTGCCGTTCAATACTTTGCATTTTGTTTCATTTTCGGAAAGCCGGAAATTTTTGTCGATTTCGGACGCTGCGGGGGATATTTACCTCAAATGTCACCCTGCTCGTGCCGGTCTGGATCCACCGGTACAGGGTCAGGTGGCCTACTATTTCTTTTTTTCAAAATAAAAATAAAAATCATGGCATCAGGGCTGTGACGAAAAATAAGTGGCCTAAATCCGATGAGAAAACCGGATTTTGGTTGACTTCTGAGCCTCTGCCCCCCCCCCCCCTCAGTGAAAATTCCTTAGAGGAGGCCCTATCGACTCCCGCCGGCGGCAGTCGATACAAGCCGTTTTCACGACGGCCATCTGGTACACATTTGGTGTACATCTGGTACAGATTAGGTGCAGATTTGGTCAAATCAGGTTCAGTGTGTCTCTTAGCAGCTATCAGCTAGGGTTGCACTAATTGTTTACATGCCTGCCTTGTCATTTTGTCAGAGAGCATCATCGATTAAAACTCTGAAATAAATTCATAAAATGAAGATATTTGCTGTAAAAGAAATTAGGTGCAGATTTGGTCAAATCAGGTGCATTCGCCGGATAGCCCGTCGTGACTAAACGGCTAATGTCGACCTCTCAACAGAACTGATAAAAAATCAAATAATCTATGATTAGAGCCAGGAGGCCAGCCGGATTTGTTGGTAGAAGTGGAAATAGGGTCTCGGGGCATTATTCGCTGGTTCTGCCCTAAGCACTGGACATACTTTCATTGACATAGGTCGAGTAATATCTGACCTTGAACGCGCTGTTGGATCCCGTGTGACCCTCAGGCGAATTCTGCACGCGGGGCGCCGAGCTTTCACTGGCCCTGAGCCCGCAAAAGCTGCTGGAGCTCAATGCGGACCTCACGATGTCTCCGTCCATCACCACCGCCGATGTGGCCGGCACGTCTGCGATGGCCACCAATGTCACCATCACCTGTCGGGACCCGAGCAAGGTGAGTGTCTTCTGACAGTGTCCTGACCGGGAGTTTGTGTATATTTTTGTTATAATGACTGTAAAGTGCTGTACTCGTATATTGCAATCGTTTAGGCATCTGTTCTTGCCACCTGCCCAATCGTGCGTACCTACATACATATGTTGGACTGAGAGCGGATCAGACGTATGAAGCACCCGATACTCTGGCAAGTGGCAGTGGCTGACGATGCCTTCTGAAGCGCCGGACTCAATGTTAACGGCTTGCAGAGGATGTGCTGACCGATTCGGTAGATCCGCCGACTGAAGTGAACCCAATGCGGCCGATTCGCTGACTGCACTGTACCGTTCTTCACTCTTCAGGTGATCATAACAAAGGACCAGTACCAGATAAACGACTACTCAGCTCAGTCAAGCTCGAAGACCTTCATTTGCAGAGCTCCTTCACAGAATGCGATGTTTGATGATTTACCTGTCGCCGCAGACGCCATCTGTATGAGTGAGTTAAACTATTATTTACAGATGAAACATGCATGTGATGAAACAAATTCTACCTACCTTTGTTTGGAGTTTCGTCTAACTCTTGTAGAACAAAGTTGATAGTTGAGAGTGGTTGGGAGGCGCGGTTATGATTGATCTCCGGGATCCATTTGAATGCCGAACATGACTTGTTTGCGTCTCGCCGATGCCTTGAAATATTCAATAAGTTTTTTCTTTTGGCGTCAATGCCATAAAAGCATGGTGGTCTCTCAGTCCCGTGTTTAGATATATGTCGTATTACCTTGACTTTCAACCTCGCTATGGTCTAAGATGTTTGTAGCGCATGCTAAGATCAAATTGTGATTAACTCTCACGCCGATATAGCTGTTTGCGTGTGTTCTCCGTTGGTCTTGGTGTGGTAATGGCGCGGCTGTCGCCGCTGGCCGGACTGACTTGGCCGTGTGCCTGTCCTACCAGCTCCCTGTCCGGCCGACTACACGCTGGTGGCGCCCACTGAATGGACGGTGGGCGCCATCACGGACACGGTGAACCGGCTCTCCTGTCTGTCGCCCGTGGTGGACCGGCCCGGCCTGGGACCCTACAAGGCGGCCCAGCTTTGCGGCCAGCGCGGCGAGCAGCTACTCGACTTCCCCGTGCCCAAAGACCGACTCAACAACCCGAGCGGATTCAGCCTCATCACGGCTATGCACTACAGGTTGGAAGTCGGCAAAGGCAAAGATATCCGTATACAAAGCCTGTGTAGTCAAAGAAAGGTCAGATGTTTATGACCTATCACATTGGCAGAGGTCTATGGCCCGATATACGTTTTTTTTTTAATAAACCCAAAACCTTGGATTCAGTACCTTTTACACCCTCCCCCAGAAACAAAACTTTGAATGTGTAAATGCAGCAAAGACCTTTTCGTTACTCTAAACTCATTATCTATCGTAAATCATTAATCGCTAATCGTTAGATCGTTATCAAGTTAAAATTAGGCGCGTTAATTGCCCGACGTTTCACTGTATTCGCTTTCTCTAATCCGTATAACGTTTCGCTGTATTAGCAATTCACGATTTACGATAGGTGACGATTTTAGAGTAACGATTAACGAAAGGTCTTCGCTGCATTTATTCTCTCAACTTGTCCACTTTCATCAAAACTTGAATTTTTGAATCAGAATACAAAATGTTAAAAAAAACGACATAGCCATTTGCCATTCGACCAACGTGGAAGTTTCGTCGCGATCGGCCGCTTTTTCCGCGAGTTATTTGCGAAAAACGGGGGGGGGGGGTCCGCTCGTCCCCCCCTCCCCTTTACGGGCGAGGGTTAAAGGGACACTCCCACCTTAACATTAGTTTTGAGTTGAGATAGCCAAATTGGTGGCCATGGCCTGCAAATACCGGTTTGGGCACTTACAACATCGACAAATGCTTTAATTCGGAGATATGGAATTTCAAACTTTCAGTTTTCGGATTCTAAGGGGCTAGTGCATTGGTATGCCCCCTTAGAATTTGTGACGTCAGCGGAGATCTAGCGATTTTTAAATCTTTTACTAAAACGTTTGGTAGCACGCGGTGGTATATGCTGCTTTGCGCGCAACAAATGCCGCACTTTCAAATAAAGTCGCTAGGAACAGCGGAGATCTCAAAAAGTAAACAAAAGTAAAAGTCTTATATCTTGAAAACCGGTGAATATTCTTCGATGAAATTTGGTAGATATTTGTTTTCGCTCTTTCTGAACCGAGCGACATCACTTTCGTGCCAATTCATTAACTTTTTTGAAGGTGGGAGGGTCCCTTTAAGATCCAAACGAGAAGAGATAGTTGTAGTGTCAAGTGTGTTCCTGTCGCGTTATGCCGTCCAGAATGGCAACGTGACCCGTGCCCGTGTAACGACAGCTGGTCTTTCGTGCTTGGCCACACAGGTAATAGTGCCAAACTGCCCGAGCAATATGGGTTATGACATACGCCGCCCATTTTTATTGCAGCAAGGATCCGCAAGATAACGTGATGAAAATTCGCGACTTGAGAGGCACCTTCATGCCCAGTCACCAGTTCGATTCGGGCGCCGCCCCCGGGGACTACAGCAACGGGGACCGATGTGTGGCCCTGTATGAAGACCCAGCCGTCGACCCACCCGGAACGATGGTTCGCCATTCGGAATGCTACAACACCGAGCATCGTTTTGTCTGCATGAAAAACGGTAAGTCAAAAGCTTGCCAGTCATTGGCGAATCCAAAAAGAGTGATCGCTTTTGCAGGGTACCTTCAGGCTTCAGGGGGCTGCGGGGAGGGACATACTCCCCAAGAATTTTCTCTTAAAATCCAGAAACTCTTCGGATCATTTTCCTCTCTTATGCTCTGCTTTGAAAGTTTGATGAAATCCATTCGACGCGATAATAATCAATTTATGCCGTATCTATTTTTCAGTGGGTTGCGACGCAGAGCACTTCTTTCACGAAGGCTTCTGCTATAACCTGCTGATCGCCTCGTCTGTGAAGGATCATATGGACGACTGTTACCCGGACCCTAAGAACGTTGGCGGTCGCAACGGGATGCCGGCAGTGCCGACTTCATCCCTGCTGACAGCTCTGGCCGCCCGGCCGGACAACCCCGACCTGCCCGTGGCCGTGGGCGTCTACCGGTAGGTTATTATTGGTATATGTACCACAGTCCGCGCGCCCACAGCCGGTAGCAGTAAAAACTGTATTTCGGTGTTACTGCAGCAGCCAGCGAGGTGGAAATATGGCGTAGCAGGTTTTTTGCTAAGCTTGGAACCCGAGAACTCGTCATTCGCAAATGATGCAGCGTTATGCAATGCTTCATATAATACACTGGAGACCCTTCCCTTTTTCGGGGAAGGTTGGCTTTTAACCCGCGCTCTGCTGGGAGGGGGGGGGGGAAGAGGAGGAGTTGTGCCATTTTTAGCACACCTTATCATATTACATCTTTTCTGTACATCTTGTGAAAGTTTCAGACCAAGGTCACTTGATCAGGTCGCCAGGTCCAGATCAAGTGACCCCACCCTACATAACAAGTTTCAATGTCTGCCATATAGCTACATCGAGTGACCGATTGCTTCGAAACTTTCAGCGATTGAAAGGAGAAACAATATGTAAAAAATGTGTCTCTTGTAATTTTCACATCGGTGACCTAAGGTCAACTCCATTTTGCGACCTCTCCATTATAAATCAATGGGAGACAATTGAAAGGCGCCCTTTTTGAACGAACGTCATTCCAACTAATCTCAAACACGGAATTACTAGTAAGCATGACACACTGAACTGGAAAATGGTCTCAGTGACCCCTCGTGATGTCCCTGAGGTCATCTCAGATCACCAATGTTGCTTAACAGTTTTTCGCGAATAACTTGATAGAGGCGTGCTAGAGCCCTGTAAACGCCTTACCTATATAATGTGTTTCGCTTGACGATACGGATCGACTGATATGCAACGTCAAGTAAGATTTTCAAGTTGACTTTTAAAGGTCAAATTATAGTTCATTCGATGCGTCTTGACGAGAGGAGCACGATGCCGGTTAAAGTACGCTTGTGCAGGGTCTGAGTCGAAAGTTGTTGCAGAAAAAAATTGTCCGAAAAAACGTATTGGTACTTGGCGATGTTTGCCCCCTGCAGGCAAAACCGTTGACGTTAGGTCAAATCTGAGAGAAGTATCGAGAAACAGCGTTATTAGAGCTGTCAAATGCGCTTTTGTGCGGCGCGGTAGCCCGATTAGTTTCCGAGTTAGCCGTTGGCTTGTTGAAAATTGGCGACAGTCGACCTGAAAATCGGGGATATTTGGCCTTCAATGACCTCTGGTGACCTGACCTTTGACCTGCCCAAAAAGTGACTCAAGTAATTTCATTATTACTTTGGCGCTCTTTCAAACGCCGCCTTCCCCGTATTGCTACGCGGCTCAGGAGCCAAGTTAGAAGGGGGTGTTCAATCACCCCCCCCCCCCAGCAGGGCGTGGAAATCCAGGAACCCAACGGGGTGAGGGTTAAAGTCCTTTGACATCACACGTAATGACGTCAGGGTACCACAAAACGAACTGAGCTCACCAGGTGGATTTAAGCATACCTACCAGAACATTACACACAATGCTTGAAAGTATCGAAAGTATGAATCTCGTGTGAACAAAATGCATGTTCGCACTTCGCAAGCCAAGGAGTCGTTAACGTTGTAATTCTTGGAATGAATCATGAAGCTTCGCCTTCACCTTGGCGCATCATTAATACAAGCAGCATTGTATCACCCATCTGCATAATGTCATACAGGCTAGTTAACAAACTTTGCTGCCGACAGACGTCATGACGGCTTCTTCATGATGGACGAGCCCATTGCGGACACGGATATTACCATCAGTGACCCGGCCGAGCTGTGTGCCGTGCTTGACATGACTGCCGGCGCCCTCACATCCATGGCCTGCAACGAGAACACGGTGCGCCCGGCGCTCTGCCAGTACCCGGGGCTGCCGCAGAAAGGTACGCAGCGCTTCATAACTCATCCACTGGGTTATAGTTTGGTACCTATTGTGCTCACACCGGCCATAAGTAATTGGTCACAACACGTCATTGGCGACAGTGGCGCGACACCAGTCACATAAGGCTCCTTTCTACGTTCTACAATATACATGCAGAATATTTGGAGGCATGGTGGACACTCGGTTACTGATCGCCTCCCTGGCCACTCGGCATGCTGCTCACTGTCGCCACTTTGCACCATCATGATAGACAGCCAGCGCATATGTCAGTTCCAACTGTCCATTGTTCAATACATGCTATTCAAACCTCATGAGTGTTTAGATTTGTAATCCCTCCGAGACATAATTCAGCATGCAGGTTGACGATAGCCTCTTCTTATTTTGTTCTTTTCAGAATGTCCCACGGTGATGAAGCTCAAATACCCCTCATCGGTGGAAGCTGGAAGCGGTAATCCGAACTCGCACAATCAAGTCTCAACAGTAACAGCTGCGAACGGTTACAATTTCTACGAGCAACAGTTTTCCCATACGTTAGAGTACAAGTGCCTCGGTTTGATGGAGGATTGGGAGCTGCAAACAAATCTGGACTCCCTGACAGTCCAGGACGTGAGCCACTGGGCACCGGCTGAAGTTCTCGGTAAGCACTGCACTGCTCTACCCGACGAACCCGGGCCTATGTGCCGACCGAGTTGTCGTGTATGTAATGGCCTGTCCAGCGTGGAAATGCGGCAGCCCTGAGGCTACGTCCTCGGCACTCGTCGGCCAACGCTCAGAGTCTAGCGATATGGAAATGTAGGTACGTACGTCGGTCGATTTCTAGCGATGAAGTCGTCTGCCTCATGTGCGTGGTTGCGATTTTGCCGCCGTTTTCATCCCAATTTTGACTCGGCGGTGTGTCTGTATTCCAGCATGCACCACGGATGATCAGAGTGGGTACCCGGCCAATTCCAACTTCAGCCAGGCCGGCCCGCACCTGATACACGCCTGTCGCTTCCCACTGCAAACGGCCAACTTCGAGACTGACCAGCAGCAAACCTGCAACCACGCCAACTACCTGTACGAAGGAGCTGTCATAGACTGTGACCGTGAGTAGCGGTACATGTGCCGTGCGACCTCGTGTTACTAATGGGGGGAGTGAGCTGGCGCCACTGGAGCGCCCGCCCGTGCCCGTTACTATGTCCGGGAAGCCCAGTGGCAGAGTCGGCCGCGATCTCTGACCCTCCCCGTTGAGCGCCTCCGCCCGCCTCTCCCCCACCCACACGTCTGACCCCCCCCCCCCCCCAGCACCTCTGACTCCTCCCCCCCGTCACGCCGGCAGAATGCATGATGAACCCGCTGGCGCCCCATAGCGACATGACGCTGACGAGCGACTGGGACAGCGTGGCCCGCACTCTGGGCACCGTCGTGAACTACTCCTGCTCCGCGGGACTGACTACCGTCAGCGGCGACATGGTGCAGCAACAAACGTGCACTCTGGACGGATGGGTGAGCTGCCCCGGCAGTGAGCTGTGAACAAATGGGTGAACTTCCCCAGATGGATGAACTCTCCTAAATAGGCGTACTTCCCTAGATGGGTGAACTTCCCTAGATGGATGAACTTCCCTAGATGGATGAACTTCCCCAGATGGATGACCTTCCCTAGATGATTGAACTTCCCTCGATGGGTGAATTTTCCTAGATGGGTAGCCCGTTCCAGCTGCGAGAGCCGGCAAGTCCTGACGCTGGTTCCTGCCCTAGTTACCGCAGTGCTGAGCGTTTGGACTTGGGAACCGTATGGATTTCATCGAATCGCCAAAACGTTTTCTCACTCACAAGACAGTGCGCAAGTCCAACTGGTTCCAGGCCCTTTCCTCGACTTTGGAGCACATATACCTACGTATTTGCTTGTCAAAAAATTGGCAGTATCATTATCAAACTTTTTTAGCCGATTTGCAACTCTAGCTTGGCAAGAGCTCTAAGGACAAGTCAGCCGTCTAACTGAAAGTTTCCTGCAGTCATGCCGAAGGTTTCCAGCAGTGTCTTACCGTATTCCTCTCTTACCAAATGCCTCCTGCAGCGTCCCGCGTCTGAGTGCCCCCTACAAATTTGCCCACTGCATTACCTCTTGCCTAATTTTTACTGCCATGTATTGCCGAGTGTTCCTGTAGTCTCACCCAGCTTCCTCCGTAGGCGGGCGACATTGTGCAGTGTGACACCTGCGAGTGGTTGCCGAGCTTCAACGCCAGCAGCGGCGTCAACATCAGCGTGACGGGCGGCATGCAGTTCGGCGGTCTGGTGGAGATGGCGTGCCTGCCCGGTCTGGAGGCCGCCGACGGCTCCGTCTTCAGCTCGGCCATCTGCACGCCAGACGCATGGAATCTCTGTCACACCAACTTCAGTTGCGACTGTGAGTGAAGGAACGGGGAAGCGGGCAGTCTGCCAGCAGTAGCCTAGAAATGGCCGTCCGACTATATAGTGATCCACATTGATTGCTGAAGACTCATAGACTTTATCTTTGGAGTAAACAAGCTAAGTGATTTATGTTTTAGAAGGCAATACGGGATAATTAGATCGATGCCGTATCCTATAATTAGATCGATGGCCCCATGTAGCAGACAGCAGGTGCCTCGAGGGTTGGGACTCTTCACCCCCAGTCTGTTGACTCACTAGTTCCTCGTGTTCCCAGTCTCTCGACTGACCAGTGATCTGTGCTGTGCTCCCAGTCTGTATGGTGATTGATGACCCATGCCTCAGTCTCTCGACTGACCATCCTACCTATCTGTCTGTTGATCCGGGCCCCTTTCTCCCCAGTCTGTCTAACTACTGACCCGCACTTGTCCGCCGTGGCTCGCCTACGGCAGTCTGTGTAGTGGCCCGTGCTTCCAGCGTCTATTGTCTATTGACCCGTGCTCTAACCCCGTGTTCGATGTCTCTCGGACGAAGAAGATTCTACGTCGTCTGGCCAATCCCGCTCAAGGTCAGCGGGGGGTCGGCTGCGGTTATGGAACATGATTGGCCGGACGACGTAGAATCTTCGTCATCCGAGAGACATCGAACGCGGGTAAGTCTCAACTGTGCCCATTCGTCTCCAGTCTGTCACGGCCCACCGCTGAACCACACTGTGCCGGCGTACGTGTCCGGCCACGACTGGGACGGCTCGACGCGCATCCAGGGCACCGTGGTCACCTACACGTGCGAGGGCGCCACGGTGACGGCCTCGGGCCTGCAGGAGCAGTACCAGAACTGTACCGACCTCGGCTGGGTCGGCGAGATCTCCGACTGCGGCGGTGAGTGGGAAGGGCCTGAGAGCGGAACGCCGCGATGCGGGAAACGTAACCGACATATAGTTAAGTTGGGGGACAATATGTTTCACTTTCGATTTTCCACCGAGACCATAAATTCACGCCTATGTTTTACTGTTGGTGTTACATGGTGTACGCAGTCTGTATAATTGGTCACCGTTTCATCATGATGGGCGCAAAATGACCTCGCAGTCGGCGCGCCCCTAACCCCCAACAAACAACCGTTTCATCATCATTGGACGATTGGTACTTTCTTCTCACCCTAGCAGCCGTATAGAGTTTACTGGCAGTATGTATATGCCACCCAGTCGTTTGACCGCGCCCCTCTCTGTCCCTGGCGCCGCCAGTCTGTGCCGGGGATCCGATGAACGCTACGGGCGCCGCCAGTCGCCGGTGGGACGGCACGCGCACAGTCGGCGCGGCGGCCTGGTACCACTGCGCCGCCGGCACGGCCACAGCCGACGGCGCCACGCTGCAGAACCAGACGTGCACCACATCGGGCTGGGAAGGAACCGTCCTCCTCTGCGACAGTGAGTGGCAGGGCCGGCGGGCGGCGACTGTCGAACCAGACGCCAGCCGCCTGTGGTGTGTGGTAGGAGAATCAGGTCGGCCAGGCCGGCAGGACTGACGTCACTGTCTCAGGTTTCAATCAATACCGATACGGTCCACACATCTCACCGATTAGTGTGATTAAGCCTCATTGTTCACACCATTTTTGACGTAGTCTACCGGTACACTGCAGATATGAGACAGTCCCAACAGACAACATCTGAACGCCCCTCCCTCCGCTGTGCCCATCAGCCTGCATTGGCGAGCCGGTCAACGTCACTGGGATGACCACCATCACAAGCAGCTTCACTGGGGACCGCCAGATCGGCGACCAGGTGACCTACACGTGCCAGGCGCCGCTGACGACCAGTGCCGGCCAGCAGCTGCAGACAGTCAACTGCACCGACCAGGGCTGGCTCGGAGACGTGCTGCCCTGCGAAGGTCAGTAGCGACCACTGCCCCGACACAGCGGGGAGTGTTGCATCTTGTGTCGAACGACAGAGGTTGCGTAAGCTTCATAAGCTGTGGGTGGGTTGATATTGGTGTAGGGTGCAATACTGCTTCTACAGGGTACAACGAATGTTATGAATATCAAATATGTTTTGACAGCTCCTTCTTGGCTATTATATCCGAAGGTTGGGACTTTTCAATTAGACAATCACTATTCTTTAGAATTGTGATTTTCTATTGAAAATCCCAACCTGAGCTACCTCTCTAGGGGGGTGTTTAGCGTTTCTGCCGCGATTTGGGTCATTTTGATCGCCGCCGAAACGGCTCGGTAGATTTTCTTGCCATTTTCAGCGTTTGGTCCCGTGTGGGGGAGCTACCGGCTGGTACCGGTCGCTTGAAATATAATTAACCCGTTTTGGGGTAATCGGCACGTGCATTTTCCCATAGGGTTAACATGGGGAAAAATTAAAAATGCGATTTGCGCAAAATCTGTTCAGTAATATTTGTCCACTTTTTTAGGGTCAGTTCTTGGGCTGGCACCTCACCTTCTGGGGGTAATTATTTAAAAATCATAGGGTACAGTTTCGGGTAATCGTGACGGACAGTTACCCCATGTTGAGCCTATGGCGAATTCGAAAAATTATTTTCAACTCGATTTTACCAAAAATTTCCACGTTAGATTTTGAAAAAGTTCCAATATGTTGTGCCCCGGGGTGTCGGCTACCACGTGGTATGGGTCAGATATGGGGCGATTGAAAAGCACGTGCCACGTGCAAACGTGTTTGATGGGGTAACCTCCGGGAAAATCCGACATTGTCCAACTGGGGGTCCTATGGCGCGGAAACGACTTCATCTAGCGACACCAAATCAATGCAGCCGGTGAGCAGATGAGTCCAGCTTGTCGCACCAGTGGTCACGTGGCGCACGTGCTATTGCACGTGCCGTGGCACGGGGTCAATTTTTGTTCTTAAATACACCAACATTGTGAAATGCAAGGAATGGGGGAAATAGCCGTCAGGCCGTCAGTTTTTATGATAGAGTCGATCTGAAAACGGGTGTAGACACAGAATGAACGGCGCTAAAAAACTGCTATCTCGGATTTTTTGTAAAACGAAAAATTTAAAATTCTAGGGAAATTATATATTAGAAAGGTGAAATTTCCCTAAATTTTCCCGTTTTTCAAGTTTAGCCGTCCACTGTTCAGTGACGGTGACACCGGCCGGGGTCATCTTTTACATGCTGATGGCCACGTCGATGGGTCATCACGTGGCGTGAACGGTGAAGCTGTCAGAGGTCCGGCACGTGCCACGTGGCCACGTGTTTGAGTCGAGTACCTCCCACATAATGGTGTTTTGGCCAACTGGTGGCCGTATAGCGTGGAAACAGAACCAGCCAAGAACACTAAATTGGGTCAGTCGGTGAGGTGACAGGTCCTGCTTTCATCACCAGTGGTCACGTGGCACACGTGTTCAGCTGGGCTCCTCTTTTGCGGAGATATTTTATCGTGAAATATTCAAATGTCCATAACTTTCTCAAATATGGTCCGATTGGGTTCAAATTTGGTGGGTGGATGAATTGTTAAGCGACATGAACGAATGCGCCATGTTTGTTGCAGTGCGCCACGTTTGTCTAAAAGCGCCATTTTTGCCGCAAAGCGCAGAATGTGCGTAACTTTGTCGAACATTGGACGATTAGGATGCGCTGTAATTAAGGGATGGCTGCTTAAACGGCAGATATGATTGCACCACATTTGCCGCAGGGCGCCATATTTGTCTTAATGCGTCAGTGTTAGCGTTTTACTTACGGCGGGCGTTTTTTGCGGCGGTGTTTGCGTTTTTTTTGGGGGTTTGCGTTTGACGACGGGCGGCCGTTTTTGCGTTTTTGGCGGTGTTTGCGTTTGGCGGCGGGCGGCTGTTTTTTTTTGCGGCGTTTTGCGGTTGGCGGCGGGCGTTGCGGGCGTTGTTTTTGCGGCGGTGTTTGCGTTTTTTGCGGTTTTTGTGTTTGGCGGCGGGCGGCCGTTTTAGTGGCGGTTTGCGGCGGGCGGCCGTTTTTTGCGGCGTTTTGCGGTTTGCGGCGGCCGGCCGTTTTTTGCGGCGTTTTGTGGTTTGCGGCGGGCGGCCGTTTTTTACGGCGTTTTGCGGTTGCCGGCGGCCGGCCGTTATTTGCGGTTAGCGGCGGGCGGTCGTTTTTTGCGGCGTTTAGCGGTTTGCGGCGGGCGCCCGTTTTTGCGGCGTTTTGCGGTTCGCGGCGTGCGGCCGTTTTTTTGCGGCGTTTCGCGGTTGGCGGTGGGCGATGCGGGCGTTTTTTTGCGGCGGCGGTGTTTGCGTTTTTTGCGGGGTTTGTGTTTTGCGGCGGACGCGCGGTTTTTGCGGCAATTTGTGCGTTTTTTTCTGCGGTTTTCGGCGGGCGGGCGATTGTTTTTTTGCGAAGTTTGCGTTGGCGTTTTAGGCGTGCGTTTTGCGCGTTTTGCTGTGTTTGCGTTTGGCGGCGGGCGGGCGGGCGGTTTTTCACAATTAAAGTCCCAACCTTCGGATCCGCAGTGCTGTTCGACAAGCGCTGCCCGGGCTATCCGAAGGTTGGGACTTTTCAATTAGACAATCACTATTCTTTAGAATTGTGATTTTCTATTGAAAATCCCAACCTGAGCTACCTCTCTAGGGGGGTGTTTAGCGTTTCGGCCGCGATTTAGGACATTTTGATTCCGAGAAAAACGGCACGGTAGAATTTTTTGCCATTTTCAGCGTTTGGTCCCGTATCGGGGAGCTACCGGCTGGCATCGGTCGCTTGAAATATAATTAACCCGTTTTGGGGTAATCGGCACGTGCATTTTCCCATAGGGTTAACATGGGGGAAAATTGGAAATTCGATTTGCGAAAAATTTCGTCAATTATATTTGCTGATATTTTTAGGATCGGATCTCGGCCTGCCACCTCACCTTTTGATGTTAATTATTTAAAAATCATAGGGTACAATTTCGGGTAATCTTGACGGACAGTTACCCCATGTTGAGCCTATGGCATTATCGAAAAATTATTTTCAAATCGATTTTGCCAAAAATTTCCACGTTAGATTTTGAAAATGTTCCAATATGTTGTGCCCCGGGGTGTCGGCTACCACGTGGTATGGGTCAGATATGGGGCGATTGAAAAGCACGTGCCACGTGCAAACGTGTTTGATGGGGTAACCTCCGGGAAAATCCGACATTGGCCAGCTTGGGGCCCTATGGCTCCGAAACCACTCCACCTAGCGACACCAAATCAACGCAGCCGGTGAGCAGATGAGTCCAGCTTGTTGCACCAGCGGTCACGTGGCGCACGTGCTATTGCACGTGCCGTGGCACGGGGTCAATTTTTGTTCTTAAATGCACCAACATTGTGAAATGCAATGAATGGGGGAAATAACCGTCAGGTCGTCAGTTTTTATGATAGGGTCGATCTGAAAACGGGTATAGGCACAGAATGAAGGGGGCTAAAAAACTGCTATCTCGGATTTTTTGTAAAATGAAAAATTTAAAATTCTGGGAAAATTATATATTCGAAAGGTGAAATTTCCCTAAATTTTCCCGTTTTTCGAGTTTAGCCGTCCACTGTTCAGAGACGGTGACACCGGCCGGGGTCATTTTTTACATGCTGATGGCCACGTCGATGGGTCATCACGTGGCGTGAACGGTGAAGCAATCAGAGGTCCGGCACGTGCCACGTGGCCACGTGTTTGAGTCGCGTACCTCCCAGATTACCGTGTGTTTGCCGATTTGTGGCCTTATAGCACGAAAACAGCACCAGCCAGGAAGCCTGAAATGGCACAATCGGTGAGGGGACAAGTCCTGCTTGCACTACCGGTGGTCACGTGGCACACGTGCGAAGATGGGCACCTTCGTGGCGGAGATATTTTATAGTGAAATATTCAAATGTACATAACTTTGTCAGTTTAAGTCCGATTGGGCTAGAATTTGGTGGCTGGATGCATTGTTAAGCGGCAGGAACAAGTGCGCCACGTTTGTTGCAGTGCGCCACGTTTGTCTCAAAGCGCCATTTTTGCCGCAAATCGCAGAATGTGCGTATCTTTGTCGAACATGGGACGATTAGGATGCGCTGTGATTGAGGTATGGCTGCCTTAACGGCAGATATGAATGCATCACATTTGCCGCAAGGCGTCATATTTGTCTTAATGCGTCAGTGTTTGCGTTTTGCCCACGGCGGGCGTTTTTTGCGGCGGTGTTTGAGTTTTTCGGGGTTTGTGTTTGACGGCGGGTAATCTAATGCTGTTATCTTGCGAGCAATGCTTGAGGCGTGTTCTCCAGGTGATTTATTTATTTTGTTATTTCTTACCCCACGCCTGTCCCGGCTCGTTCCTGAAAACTCCGAACGCCGTCCGCCCTCTGGCATGTGCCTGTCTCTCTCTCCCAGTGTGCCCGCCTCCGCCGGCCGGGAACCATTCCACCATTCGGCATATGGACACCTCTGGCAACTTTGGCGACCGGCTCGGCTCCAGCATCACCTACCACTGCAACCACCACCTGTACACGGCCGAGGGACACAACCGGATCCAGGCGGTCTGCGAGGCGTCCGGCTGGACCGTCTGCGAGCCGGAGATAGAGTGCAACTGTGAGTATGCGGGCCGGACCGGAAATACCGTGCGACTGTGAGCATGCGGGCCGGAGATAGGGTGCAACTGTGAGTCTGACCGTCTGTAAGCCAGAAATACAGTGTAAATGTGAGTACGCGGGAGGGAGAGACAGTGCAACTGTAAGTATGCGGGCCAGAGAGACCGTGCAACTGTGAGTTCGACCGATTCGCGTTGGGACCGGACCCTTCCGAGTATACAGACCGACTGTGCTAAAGCTATGCTAAGCAATCATGATCTATCTTTCTTATTTGCAAACAAATTGCAATTAAGTCATTTCTTGTTTGCAAATTCCATCAGATCATATTGGGAAAGTATATGATTCGATGTAGTGTGACATCCATCAGAACACAGCAGCCAATGTTTTGTCATCAATGTCTCGAAATCTACCGTCACGAGACCCTGGCCCTCTCACCGACGTTCACAGTCTGCGCTGACCTGGGCGACGTGTCGCAGTACGGCGGCACGCTCACCTGGGACTACACGGGCGTCAGAGAGGTGGGCACGGTGGTGACGCTCACCTGCGGCACCGGACTGGCCACGCCCGAGCTCAACACCACGCAGACGCTCACCTGTGGCCTCAACGGCTGGAACCGGGCCGTGCCCTGCTCAGGTAAGTCGGCTCGGGTCAGAACCGGGACGTGTCCTGCTCGGGTCAGTCAGTGAGGTCAGGGGACCCGGTGGGCGATTCTGGGAGACATCCTCTCGACGGGAGGTTCCAGCCAGAATATACTGCCAATCGTAGAAGTTGACTTCTAGAATGATATCCGCCCTATAGTGCCGAGTGCTAGGTTCATAGTTCGCTTCATTTCCTGTCTTCTTTACCTAAATATTGAATGCGATACATGTAGGTAATATAATCTTTTCTAACCTCTGCCGCAGTGGCGGCGCCACGAATTTTCGCCAGTGGGGGCAAGCTTGAGGTGACCCGACTGTTGTCTGATACGCCAATCTGCAAAATCCATGAGCAACTTGCCCCTAGATGTTGCCATTCAAAATTATTATGGTACTCATGTGACCTCGAATGACCTTTGGTTGACTTTGACCAGGCGCGGATACAAGGGGGGGGGGCCATGGGGGCCATGGCCCCCCCCCCTTGGCCGATTTTTTTCAAAAATAAAATAAAAAGTTAAAAAGCTGAAAAGGGGGCCTCCTGAAAATAAAGTGGCCGAAATCCGATGAGTTTTTTTAACCTACCCACTTAGTTATTTCTTAGAAGACTAGCTGAGAAGACTTCTTTGTTAGAAGATTGGTAAAGCTTTTCATAACTTGGAGGTCTCTTATACTCACAGAGATGACCACTTTTACAGGGCCTCCTAACCTGCACAGAGGGCCTCCAAGCCTGCACAGATGTCCTAACAAACACAAAATCTCTTAGCCTACACAGAGGCCTCCACTCGCATCCGAACAAAGGGCCTCCTAGCCAACACAGAGGGTCTCCTAACTCACACAGAAGGTCTCCTATCCTGCACAGAGGGACTCCAAGCTTGCACAGATATCCTCTTCGCCAACACAGGACCTCTTAATCTCCACAGAGGGCCTCCACTCGCATCCACTGAACAGCTAGATAAGCTCAATAGACGCAGTTTTTTTTGGGGGGGGGCCCAACAAGTGGGAAGATGGGGCCTCCAACAGGTGGGGGGCCTCCTGGTTTCTAATGGCCCCTCCCTTGGAGATTTTCTGGATCCGCCCCTGACTTTGACACATGAAAAGTCCTTTGTGATGATTTCGTAGCCACTGATCACGATTCTGGCATCCATTTTGCTCTAGTCTAAGCATTCATTTAAATGATGGGAAACATGTCTTAATTAGGTACTAGATGCCGGCAGCGCTCTTGCGTTGCCTTGGGCCAGAATTGGATGAACGGAGCTGAGGGCACACACCGGGCAAAACCACCGAAACCCAGACTGAGCTCGGACTGAACCTGAAACCAACCGAAACATCCCAAAAATGCTTGAAAGCACGTGAGATGGGTGTCCCATAAGTTCGTTTTCACCTTAATGTTACGTTTATAGGCTCTCTTGCTTAAAGGCACGCTGGAATTGGTTCGTAACTGAGCTTACGTGGTTGCCATGGCTGGTAGCAATATGCTCCACAGTAACTAATTTCTGTAGACAAAATAGCTTTTGCTAGAGAGCCCGCTTCCTACAGAGACGGCTAACGCCGCAACATAGAGGTCTCCGATACGGGTGCGTCTTGGTATTTAGTCAGCACGTGACCATTCTCGACGATTAAGGGTGATTGAGGCCTACCAGTCTGTACCCAATGTCCATCGCTAACTGGACGCACAGTCAGCAAGTGACGCCGATGATTTGTCGGGAGTCAATCACGGTGAATGAACATGAGTAGGAGAATGAGTGGGAGTAGGAGATATGCGACAGACGGTCCGAGAACGAACGTTTTGCTGATGCACTTGATACGGGGACCGTCAAAAACAGGCGTACTATTATAACCGCTTATCATGAATGTTGCACTGGTCTTCTGTTCCCTTTTCAACATCAGCCAAATTTTGTGGGGGCAAAAACATAGTCTTGCCCCCACGGCCTCCTACCAGTGGGGGCAGTCTGCCCCCACTGCCCCCACGGTGGCGCCGCCCTTGCTCTGCCGATTACCACCGATTTATTTGAAGGATCTGATTCCCGTAACATTCCACCGTCGTCTGACGCGTCCGCCCCTGCCGCCAGTCTGCACGGACCCGGCGCCGACGCCTCCGGCCTCTCTGGAACCCAACGTCACCTGGACGCTCGGTGACCCGACCGCCATCTACACGTGCCTGGAGTCGAAAAAGTTCGCCTGGGGTCTGACCACATTCGAGATGACGTGCTCGCCCACCGGCTGGCCGTGTGTGCCAGAGTGCGAATGTGAGTGGTCCAGTCGCCAGCGCGATTTCAGGGGACCTGCTAGTTGGACTGGAGTTGACTGCTGAGGCAGTTGGCACAGTTCAGGCTGTGTATTTGATTTCACCATAATAGGAACATTAAAGGGACCCTCCCACCTTCAAAAAAGTTAATGAATTGGCATGAAAGTGATGTCGCTCGGTTCAGAAAGAGCAAAAACGAATATCTACCAAATTTCATCGAAAAGTATTCACCGGTTTTCAAGATATTATACTTTTACTTTTGTTTACTTTTTGGGATCTCCGCTGTTCCTAGCGACTTTATTTGAAAGTGCGGCATTTGTTGCGCGCAAAGCAGCATATACCACCGCGTGCTACAAAACGTTTTAGTCAAACATTTAACGGACTTTCGAAAGCCTGATGACGTCATCAGATTCCCGTAATGGTTAAGAGATAGGGACCACGCTGGTCCCACCCTGCAAGTAAAGGGAAGAAATTTCTTGAACACCATAAAGCTGCGGGGGTTGCGACTAGGATAAATGGTGGTTTCTGAGCCTGGCCGCAAACTTGGCTATCTCAACTCAAAACTAATGTTAAGGTGGGAGGGTCCCTTTAAGGATTAGAGTTCGGCAAAAAGTTCTAAAATCTTCAATAGAGTTGGGAACTGAACCTAGTGGTATTTGTTATGTTGTTCGAGCAAGTCTGGTTGCTAAATCCGAAAGAATTTAGCAACACAGCATTGCTTTGCTTACACTGTGTCTTTGTAACCAGTGCTCCCTGTCGGAAGCAGTGGCCGGATGACTGCGCCCTCCTCGTGCCGGCAGACTGCGCCGGGTCGCCGGACCCTCCGGCCGGCGTGTACCCCACGGACGTGTTCTACAATCCGGGCGGCCAGGCCACCTACCAGTGCAGCGCCAACATGCAGACGGCGCTCAACGACACCGTGCAGACGCTGACCTGTGTGGAGACCGGCTGGGAGGGCGACCTGCTGCCCTGTGACGGTCAGGAGCGGGACGTTCTGCCCTGGGCGGTCAGGAGCGGGACCTACTGTTCTATGATGTTCTACTGCCCATTGGGGGAGACCTACTGCCTAGTAGTGGATACCTGCTGCATTATAGGGGAGATCTGATGTCCTGTATCGGTCAGGGAGACTTGTTGCCGCTCTGTGACGATCAGCCGATGTTGTATCTTCCTTCTGGCACTTGTAGAAGGTTAATAGTACGGTGTCGGTCTGTTGCAGTTTGTATCGGTGAGGTGACGGCCCCGAGTCCCGGTCAGAACCGCATCTGGTCCGGCAACAACACGGTCGACACCATCGTCACCTACGAGTGTGTGCCCGGCATGGAGACGGAGGAGGGCACTACGTATCAGACCCGCAACTGCACCACCGACGGCTGGACGCCGCCGCCGCTGCCGTGTGACCGTGAGCCACGCGCCGCGGGAGGCGGCTGCAGCCGCGTGACCGCGTAGGCCGCACGCCGCAGACAAGCACCACTGTCTAGCGTTGTAACTCGCGAGGGATAAGTGTTCGGACAACTATCAGTAACTTAATGCAGATGCTAAGATACTCTATTACCCCTACCATTGCGCCCCCGGCACATATAGACTAGTTATGTTTACCTACCGATTCTAGTAAATGCGATCGCCTCAGCGACAATTAGCTCCTGGCAGTGTCAGTGCCAGTGTCACGCCCATGTCAACGTGACACGAATATCGATCAGAGATCGAATCATCGATCATCAATATCATCGATCGAATACCGATATCGGTCGACTATCCCTCTGAAGTTGTCTGACAACCCTGATCTGACGAACACCCCTGGTCCTGCCGCAGTGTGCAATTTGGCGCCGGGACCGCGCCACTACATGAGCCGCGACTGGAGCGGCAACCGCACCGTCAACAGCACAGCCACATACACCTGCCACGGCAACCTGACCACGATGGCCAACGAGACTGAGCAGACCATCACGTGCACAGAGACCGGCTGGAGCGCCCCCGTCCAGCCCTGCGGTGAGCGCACCGCGCGCCTGGGCCTCGGACAGAAGGCGTGGTGTTGTGATTCGTGCTGGCTGGAATTTTGAGGGTGGGACTGTGGATGGATGGGGGGTAAAAGGTGGAATCAGCGACATGCATTGACACACCTATCCGTGCTTCTATCCTCAGGATACTGAAATCCTTCTCCTCCACGCCACAACCCCCCTCCGGGCTGGACAGGCAACTTTATCTCATGCGGGCTGCTCCCTTGGAGCGGCACCGCTGCTCCCGAGGGAGCGCACCCCATAGCCGGGTGCAGTGAGTGCCTTGGGGCTGGGTGGCCTGTCCTCTGGACGGGTTCAGCCCCGGCGACTCACTAGGGTGCCTGCCCAGACCAATGTCTCCCCCTAATTCCTATCATCCTTCCGGCTCTGCAATGGTCTTGTCGACCGAAAGGGCCTAACCCAACAAAACAAAAACATGCATTGAGAGGTGGTAACTAGCTTTGGGGAGAGGAAGGGTGGTGTGGGAAACTATTTGGCGAGTTCCCTCCTTGACTGGTTTGGAAGGAGGCCGGGGGGGGGGGGGTAGATCGCCAACACTATCAGCCTAGCCCGCGAGTTGCTGGGGGGGGGGGGGCATTAAACGCCCCCACTTTTTCGCCGGGCCATAGCAAAAAAAACGGCGCGCAGGCGCGCCAAATTTTGGGTATCTGTAGGGAATTGTTTGAAGTGTATTGTAACAAAGTTTCAAAAAAATCGGTCGGAAAATTTTTGAGATATCGAGGTTTCAGTGACGTCATGATTTCTGAGTTTTCGACCAAAAACGGCATATGTTCGAAAAATCATATAAAATCACAGAATAGACATACAGACATGCCGTAAACGCCATTAGACTGCCAATACCATGAACAATCAAATGGCTATCTTCGATTATTGATGATCGTTCCGCATTTTCCAAAATCTTGAACTGAATCTTGGCAATTTCTCGTGACTACTTCACGACCATGATACATGCATTTCTTAACCCTCGCCCGTATTGGTGTTTTTCCAGCCGCGAACGTATAAGGGGGAGGGTCCGTTGGACCCCCCCTTGCCGTTTCGCCCCTGATCGAGCTAGAGCTTCGCGGAAAAAACGAGCGTGTTTCCCGTGAGGAGAGGAAGCCGATGATACCTAATTTTAAGGTCCTAGGTCATTGGTTGACCTTGCAGGTCAGGTCAATGACCCAAAAGTCGGGAAAATCGGGACCTGTTAGAACGTCGTAAAGTGTGGCTGCTAAGAGGTTTTTCGGGGCGCTGATCACGAATATCATGTTAGTTTTGATCACAGATGATGTCTTTATGCATTTAGTCCAGGTCGGGTCAGGTCAGGTCAGGTCAACCAGTAGGGGTCCTGCCGGGTATTCCTAGTAGGTGTCAGCCGCCTCTGGCAGCTTCGTAACATGTTACGAAGGCACCAAAACTACTTCGTAAATGTTCATATGGTTGCTGAATTCGAATTCAGCTGCAAAAACTGGCCTAGAAACATGTAAAACTCGAAAAAGTGAACCGAGGTCACCAAAGGTCAATGACCTGACCTGACCTTCAGGTGACCTTGACACCAACCCTAATGCATGGGGGAAACATCATATCACATGTTTGAACGCTTGAAACCACGAAAAGACTGCAAACGCGCGGCTAATGCGAGCCGACATACGCCGAATCGCGATTCCGGCCAAACATGGTCTCGAAAAGTAGGTCACAGATCAAAGGTCATTGGGGTCAGGGTCATGAAATTTTCAGGGTAGGTGTAAAATTGATTAACGCGAGGGTACTGAAAGTTTCGTCGCGATCGGCCGCTTTTTACGCGAGTTATTCGCGAAAAACCATGGGGGGGGGGTCCGTTCGACCCCCCCCCCCTATACGGGCGAGGGTTAAATTGAACTTTTTGAGCCAAACACGTACACATATGATAAAATGAATGTCACCATGGTGTTCTACGCCCCAAATTACCCATAAAACATGTATCACAGGCTGCGAATATCAGTTTTGATTTTCGGGGATATTTGCCTACCCGGTTGACCTGACCTTGACCCTGACCTATGCTTGACTGACCCCTACATGGAGCTGACACTCTTTTAGGCCTTATATGATGGATTGTGCACCGTTTTGACAGAGTTTATGACGTGAGGCGCCCATTGCGAAGTCCTGAAGTCCATGCTACTGAAAACCCGATTTCAGGTGTTTGACCTGACCTTGACCCGACCTGTGACCTCAAAATTCAACTTTAAAGTACTCATCTGAAGCGTCTCGTCGCGTTCTTTCGTTTGCCGCCTCGTGCGTTTCGCTGCGCCTATTGGTTCTCGAGTTATCGGCTGGGGGGCGATTAACGCCCCCCCCCCCCCCCCAGCAAACGGTGGGTGGCGAAATACCCCAGCAACTGCCGGGCTAGACACAGACCTCTCATCCATTGTGCTGCTTATTTTTCCGACCAACTACCATAGTGAGGTTTCGCGCTGTTCCCTTATTACCAAATGTCATTTCGTATTCAGCCCACCGATCACCATATTGCAACCATCACCAAGCCGTGGTGATGGGACCCAGCCATCTAGGAGTAGGAACCAAGCCGTTCTGCGTGTGACCGCGGCCGGCCTGTGCGCCGTCTGTCGCCGCTGTCGTCTGACGCCGCCTCTCCGACAGCCATGTGCAAGGACCCGATCCCGGACGCCGGCAACTCCACGGAGCGCAACATGACCTCGAGGGTGGGCTGGCGGCTACCGGGTGCCACTGTGGAGTACCTGTGCTCCACGGGCGCCGTGCAGACGGTGACGTGCACGGGCAGCGGCTGGGAGCCCGAGGTGCTGCCGCCCTGCTGTGAGTCGGCGCCGCCACCCCCACCGGCCGACCGGCGCCACCTATCGTATTACTGGCTCATTGAAGGCTTTCATAATAAGGCTGCCGAGGGCCAGAAATGCGCATTTATTCAGACAGCTCTATATTAAATATGGAATGATATTAATACATTATATTCCATTGCAAAAATCCAACTACTAATGGTTACATAAGTTGTATATAAAGCATATCTATATAAACACAAATCTGCTTGCAAAGTTGGGCCACTGTCTCTTCTCGTGCCCGCCGCCCAGCCCTGGTCTAAACCCCTCTCATCCCCTTTAACCTATGGTCCTGCGTGAGTGGTGTGACAGGGTACGAGCGAATGAACGTGAGGCGATGGGATGACTGACACTGGTTTGCATGCTGCTACTGCTGTATGACTTTTCTGCGCTTAGACAGGCTCTGCATTGTGACATGCTCAGCGAATAATTCTTCAGGTAGCTCAGGTACTATACTCTACAGCCCGTGCCGAATCCGGTAAGCTGCAGTGATGGGGAATAGTGACCTTACGTATATCAACTCACGTGATCGCTGGTTCCACAATTCATAGATCACAACTCTTGAGTTAGGTTTGTGGGAACCGTGGTAGCCATTCCAGCGCGAAGTGTTTTAAGCCAGTGTTTCGTTAGTATATCAAAAGGTATGATGTGTCCTATATATTATGTGTGTAGTTTCAATCATTTCTTTTAGAGGACGAATTAAAGGCGTCAATATGACCCAGTCCGATACGAAACTGATCGATGACGTATCTAACTGCGCGTTTCGAGTCCCTCAGGTTTGTCGAGGTCATCATCTGGCCTTCTTCGTCCTGGTGGACACCGCTAAAAGCCCTGCTGCGGGCGGCCTTCCACTGGCAAGCTGGCACGTCCTCCCGGCTTCAGGAATGCGGGATGGAGGACACCCTAAACGCGAATAGGGGCATCAGCTCCCAGCCGTCTTATCGGGAGTTGATGTTCCCTCAATGTAAGGGAATGGAATAAATGGAATGATGTTCCACCATTGAGTGAAAAACGGAGAAACCGCTGTCGACAACGCAGATGAAAATCATCTGTTTTATGGCTGTGAATTTTGTGCTGTTTTATTTTTGTGTTGGGATCAAGGCTGGGATTGATGTTAATACCCACCACCAGCAAATGTAACTAAATGTGTCAGACTCTAGTGTTTGCACATATTTATCAAACCGTAGCATGGTAGCATAGCTATATCGTTTAACGATGCGATGACGAACGATCCCCTATCTTTCGTGTAAATGAATTAAATACTGGGAAATAAGACAATAACTAGGCACCAAAAGCGTCGAACAGTGGACACTTTCACCGCACGTGAGCCTAGGGCTTCTCAAATCCTCAGCATACTCGTGTCGCGCTGTACATACATAAACCAAGTTAGTGTCGCGGGACACTATTCCTCATGTCAGATGAGTTGTGAAAGGTGGCCGTGATTTCCTGCAATATGCCGCTTTTTATCAGTCTGAATACATGTTAAGACCGGCAACGCTGAATTTCGGCAGACGATAGCGGCTGTGCTGACAATACGTAAATCGACTGGGAAGGCTGAGAAAGATGTGTGATACTGTTCAGTGCTCAGCACATTCACGTAAAACCCATGCACTTTACCTCTTTGAAGACTGATCTATTTTCAATGCATCTTGCACGCACATTTGTCAATCATCTCACATGGAAAGCAGCAGTCACACGATTTTAGCACAATTAAATACAAACGGGAACATCACAAAACTACCATAAAAACATGGTCATCACAATCGCGTATTACGCGCAATCGCCGACTGAAGCTAGACCTGTGTTTAACCATTGAGTTCGTATCGAGCTCAAGTCATGCCTCATCTGGGTACAAACTGGCGGCATGACAATGCCCCACCGTAATGCAAGAAGAACTAAAACTCTGAAGTCTGCACTGCGTGAAATAGTCCCTGATCAAGTCAACATTCGCAACACGCCTCCCCTGCACAGCTAAAATAGGCACCAGCAAACATGGCGAGTATAAGGTGACTTTGCACTCGTTCATCACCCCCACCTCATGACATACGAACAAATCGGCCAGCGTCACCGTCTTACGGTCAGCTCAGCATACGAACCAAACCAAACGCCCGCGCTCTACGAGCCACAGCCGAAGACCGCCGCACGGCCTACTTGTCCGCAGAGGTGGCGGCGGCCTGCGCCACTCGGTCCTCCTCGGCCTTTTGCGCGCGCAGCTGGCGGTGGCGCTCCAGGGTGCGCTTCTCCACCGTGTCGCCGGCCCTGGCGCGCTCCTTGCCCGTGTAGACCATGGCGAGGGCGGCCATCACCGTCAGGCCGATCATGACCAGGTTGGCGCGGATGCGGAACCGGTTGCGCGCCTGTACGATCGTCTGGTAGGGCAGCATCTCGGGTACGTCTTCGACAGACTTGTAGCGCTTATCCCAGACTAGTGACTTCTTGTCAATGTACTGTGCACGCACCATCTTCTGGCTGGTGTCTGCCGGCGATGAGCATTGCGCTAACTTTGTCCCTATCGTGTTATGCGTTTACCAATAAATGAAATACAGGGTGGAAAGAAAAATATGTTTTGATTTTAACAGCCCGTGACATCAAAGCGAGTAGTAATAGCTCAAAATGAATTAGTGCATTTGAATCACCTTTTCTGGAAGTTTTATACCTGGTGTCATTCACACTCTTTCTCGCTCCTGGGCGTCCCCCATAGCACGTGTTCTGAGTAACCCCTTTTTCGCAGAATTTAGAGATATGTGTACCGCGCAACCTCGCGAGATGAATTCAGCGCACAAATCGGGTGGATTCTACGTGCGACCTTCCAAATCGTCTTCATCACGTTCGGGAGACTCTCTGGGCTCATGGCTGGCACCTGTGATTTCATTAAACCCCACAGATTAGAACCAGGGGCGTCGGGCCTGAGAAGAGGGCTGGCCATGAAATTTCGGCTTTTTTGACTGGTCACGTGCCCTCTAAAGTGTTCCTCCGGCCAGGAGAGGCTCGCTCTTTATGTGCTAGATGGAGCCCCGTCTTTTTTGGAAACAGTGTACTCAGTTACACCCTCCAGAGCTGTCACTATCTAACGCCCGAGCCTTCTCAGCACCCGAGCGTAGCGTTCCTTGTTGACGGTGACCGTGGTGCCTTTCGATGTTTCGAGGGAAAACGGTCCGATGAGACAGGCGGTGGACATAACACATCATTACGTCAATGTGAGACTGTGCAGAGGGCTCTATAACGTTGTGCCCAGAGGGAATAAAGCCCAAACTTGACAGTTCTGGGTTGATTTTACCGCTCATTCGGACCGTTTCCCTCGAAACATCGAAAGGCACCACGGCCACCGTCAATAAGGAACGCTACGCTCGGGTGCTGGAGAGGCTCTAGCGTTAAATAGTGGCAGCCCTGAAGGTTTTAACTGAGTAAATTGTTTCCAAAAAAGACGGGGCTCCACCTAGCACGTAAAGAGCGGGCCTCTCCTGGCCGGAGGAACACTTTAGAGGGCACATGACCAGTCAAAAAAGCCGAAATTTCATGGCCAGCCCTCTTCTCAGGCCCGACGCCCCTGGTTTTTATCTGTGGGGTTTAATGAAATCACAGGTGCCAGCCATGAGCCCAGAGAGTCTCCCGAACGTGATGAAGACGATTTGGAAGGTCGCACGTAGAATCCACCCGATTTGTGCGCTGAATTCATCTCGGAGGTTGCGCGGTACACATATCTCTAAATTCTGCGAAAAAGAGGTTACTCAGAACACGTGCTGTGGGGGACGCCCAGGAGCGAGAAAGAGTGTGAATGACACCAGGTATAAAACTTCCAGAAAAGGTGATTCAAATGCACTAATTCATTTTGAGATATTACTACTCGATTTGATGTGACGGGCTGTTAAAATCAGAACATATTTTTCTTTCCACCCTGTACAACCCAATAAATAGTTAACTACTTAATATAACATAGAAACAACCAAATAAATAAAATTATGCATGAAGACATTCCACATGCAGCTAACCACAGTGAAAATAAACTGATGTTGAGGCGGTTCTGGGCTCTGGCAGTAATATTATTGAACCATTTTGTCTCACAACTAATTAGGATGGCCCTCATAAGGACTTATGTCATAACTATGGCATATGATGCCATGGAGATCCATGGCCGGGCCATCCTACAATGTAGCATCCTGATACCATGCAGGATAACACAGAAGTGGTGTTACCTATGTAAAAAATAGAACAAATAAAAAATGAAACACAAAGTGTAACAAATCAATTGCCCACCTAACTACTATGATATAGGATTACAGGACAAACCTTAGCTTAGGCGAATATTTTATTGGCTGTTTTTCAACCTAGAATGAATTAAATAAACAGCATGACCTAGCCTGTCCCCAACTTTACCCATTGTACCCTTAGTTTTAACCAATGCATAGGTTTAAAGGAAGCATAATGAGCAAAGATTTGTCACATCATTTGTCATGTGATAAAGTAGGGATGAATCAAACTGCAAACCGTGGCAGGTTTCGACGAGATCTCGGGAGTACACGGGGCCTCCTCTAGCCTTATTCAGGCGTGCAAGTCACAGCCCACACGTGCAGGCGTGCAATGACGAATCAGGGCGTACATGCCTGAAGAGCTCTCACTCTAAGCTCTAAGCTTGCTAATGAAACAAATAATAGGGGACGGACGTCTACGCAACTACTGTGCATTTTTTTTTTTTTTTAGTGCCGAGCTCTGTTCATTGGGGTCAAATGTGCGAGTATGACAGATCACTAGTCACCAATTCCAACGTTTTCACTGCGGCTGGCGTATACGAGAGACGGGCGGAGGAACCTATGTCGAACGGTGGACCTCGGTTCGGTCGGACACCTGCCAACCGCTCGACACTTTATCGAGCTAAAGCCTCGTGGAAAAAAACGAGCTATCGCTCGTGACAAGAGGAAGCAAATGCTAACCGATTTTGAGATCTTAGATCATTGGCTGACCTTCCAGGTCAGTTCAATGACCTATTTGTCAGGAAAATCAGGACCTGCTAGATTTTCTTGAAGTGCGGCAAATGAGCCATCTCTGGGGTATTTTGTAGGTCCTGAATCGAAATTTCACACTAGTTTTGATTGACAATGCATGCGTGCATTTGGGGTAGGTAGGGTGTGGGTCAGTTCAGGTCAACCAGCATTTGTCCCACAAGTTGTTTTTGGCATGTATTTACCATCAATGATGCCTCCTTCACATGTTACATGCTACATAGTTTAGAAGTAGTTCCCAAATCCTAATTAGTGATACATTCATTGTCGCCTGTCGGCTCCAAAAACTAGTCAAATAAGCATTAAAAATAAGAAAACCGGGGTCACCAAGTACAAACTGACTCTGGCTCAGTCAAGAGCATTGCAACCCAGCCCCCGATATAAGTGTGAAGGTTAGGTAATGTACGAAAGACGTCGCTGATCAAGTGAAAAGTGTCGCTCGCTGGTACACTTTAAATGCCAGCCACCAGTAAAGTTTTGCTACGATGCTCAATATCGTGTGTGTAGTGTACGGGGTGTTAACTTGAACTTGAAATGCTGCGTGTCAGGCATGCAAAGTACAGACACAGGCGTGCACTCCTACTTGCCAGACATGCACTCCCATCTTGCCCATCTAACTGGGTACACCTCGGGCATGCACGTGCCACGCTTTGCACTGCAGTCTGGGCCGGATAATGCTGTCTTGGGACACCATACCTTGTGCAGATGGCTCAGGCTTTTCTCTTGAATTATCACCTTCTGCTGACTCTGTGACATCCTTTAGCTTTGATTGACTTGATGCAAAAGTAGTTATGCTCTTTGGTTGAAGATGGGGTCTTATCAGTCTCCCACAATTGAGACCATTCCTCAAACTTGCCATAGTTTTCAGCTGCAGCGGCAGGAAACTGGTAAATAGTGCTTGAGCAGGCATTACGAGAAATCAATATATCAGTTGCTCATAGAGCAGAATAGCGACCAGCAACCTTTACAAATAAATTAAAAATTTTGATGAGCATGTAACTAACTGCTGTCAATTTAGCAGCAGTTTGATATCCAACTACAGTTTGATATTCAAGGTGCGCCGATTTCGCCCAAACCTACCCCAGGGACCAAGTCTGTCACGCTGAGCACGAATCTGGTGTCTGAAATCCGCTATTCTCAACCGATCACCCAAATTTACCGTTTTTGAGTTCGTCCATCTACAGATTGACAAACTCCAGGGGCCCTTGATTTCGCTCAAAAATGGGTCTAGGGGACCAAGTCTGACACGCTGAGCACGAATCTGGTGTCAGAAATCCGCTATTCTCAACGGATCACCAGAATTTACCGTTTTTGAGTTCGTCCATCTACAGATTGACAAACTCCAGGGGCCCTCGATTTCGCCCAAAAATGGGTCTAGGGGACCAAGTCTGACACGCTGAGCACGAATCTGGTATCGGAAATCCGCTATTCTCAACCGATCACCCAAATTTACCTTTTTTGAGTTCGTCCATCTACAGATTGACAAACTCCAGGGGCC